GTCCATGATAGAGCGCCCCATGACGGCGAGCTCAAGACGGGCGGCTGGGGCTCTGCAAACGACGAAAAGTCGGCCCCGACCGAGGACGTCACCCTGCGACGCGGCGGCGAGGTCCTGCAGGCCTCGGGCGCGCCTCGGGACGTTGGAGCGCAATTCGAGGATCTCAGCGCAGGGGTGCCCGGGGTAGAAGTGACCCTCCACGACAAGGTCGCCTCCGCCGCGAAAGGAGTCCACGGTCGATCCCCACGCCTGCGGGAACACACGGACGCGCAGCACTTCGACGTCGAGACCGGTGTCAGGGTGCTCGGCGCAGGCAGGAGAAAGGTACTCTACCTCGCTCTGTCTTAGGATGCGCCAAGTTCGAATCTGGCGTCGCGCGCGAGAACCTGATTGTGGCGATCGCCACCTGGCGAAGGAGCCGGGAGCGCCAGGAGCTGCAGTTGTAGGTGCGATGGCGCGCGTGCGCGGGACGTGGGCGGTCCTGGGAAGGCCGGCGGCCCAGGCCGCTCTGGTCGACGAGGGCGTCGGGGGCGCGTGAGCGCAGCGCGCAGAGGACCACCTCGGTTGGAATGGGGCCGGCCGAAAACGGGATGATACCGTCGTGATCCAGGCCAACTTGCACGCGCCAGTCGGTTGCAGCCGCGGAGGCCGCGAGATCAGCAAGGGGAACCCCGCCCGCCGTGTCGGACCGGGACGTAGGCATGCCCAGCGACCGGGGATTAGAACCAGAACGTACTAGGCGGCTCGGCTAGCCGATGTGAAAGCACCAAGTGCTCAACATCGGGGATGGATGTAGAGACACCTGGGTTCCCTGGGGGGTCGACGAGGCATAGCACGTGATGCAGAAGTGGCTGAACACAGGCAGCGACGAGCGAAGGGCTGTCGCGAGGTCGCGCATGGAGGGTCGTGGTGCGCAGAAATTGGTACCAAGTAGTCACGTAGGGCAACCGGTGTAGCTAGTAACAGAGAGGACTGTACCTCGTCCGCCTGCCCCGCCTGCGTCAAAGTGTGCAACGCAGGCGCTCGGAGTGAGAGCGGGTCCTGCAAATGCACTGTAAGCGGGGCGGCGAATCGCGCCGGGCGCTCCCTGGCGGCACTGCGCAGCCCCTCGCGCTCGGATTGCGGAGGGGGTCGCCGATGGCAACCGGGTGCTGGGCCTCCACGAGCATACGATGGCCCCACAGACTGTGGCCTGCGGCGGCCAAGCCCGCCGAGGTAGGAGAGCCGGCGTCGGCTGGACCGTGGGCACCGACGGCCGAGAGGTCGGCTGCAGCAGCAGCGGCAGCGAGGCGGGCCTGGAGGGCACCAAGCTGGGAGGCCGAGCGGTCCACGCAGCGCACGGAGAGAGGGACGCACATGGGGCCCCTGGCGCAGTAGGAATGGTGCACCCCGCCCATTGTTGGGAGAAGTGGATGGGGAGGAGGGGGGGGAGGAGGAGGAGGAGGAGGAGGAGGAGGAGGAGGAGGAGGAGGAGGAGGAGGAGGAGGAGGAGGAGGAGGAGGAGAAGCCAACTTGAGCCATCTTAACCGTCTCGGAGGCCGTGTATATATAGAGAGAGAGAGAGGTAGAAAGAGAGAGAGAGAGAGAGGTAGAAAGAGAGAGAGAAAAAAAAAAAAAAAAAACTGTGTTTCAAGGCCGGCTGGTCCAACTCAGCGAGGAGAATAGCAGTGTGTGCTAGGGGTAATTACCACCGAGCGGTGTTGATGGCAGCAGCGTCCGAGGAGCTGCGGACGCTGAAAAAAGGAGGTGGCGTGAACGGCGGGATGCAAGTGGTGCACAGACCGAAGATCGTCACACACACACACACACACAAACACACACACACACACACACACACACACACACAACACACACACAACACACAACACACAGAACACACAACACACAGAACACACAACACACAGAACACACAACACACAACACACACACACACACACACAAAAAAAAAACGACGCATTACTCAAAAAAACACAACTTGTTGTTTGCCGTTTTCGGCACCGAGGGGCCGCTTACCAGCTCTGGAGCCGTCGGAAAAGCGGCTCTGGCTGTCCAGCTGGCCCTGGGGAAAGCGTCGGGACTTCAGGGCCCCGTGCGGAAACAAAAACGAGACACCTGACCCCGAAGTCCGACGTCAGAAAGAGAAATACAGAATGACAAAGCACGGCAAGAGCTTGGCGGCTACGATAGGGGCGAATGGCCCAGGGGCGGGCATCACACGCGTTCGCCCGGGAGGCTTCTCGAAGACACAGATCATCGGCGCACCTGAACACATGTATTAGGGGCAAAACAAACCTACCTCGCTTCTGACCACCCTCGCTTCCAAGAGATACCAAGCGATGCCAAACCACGGCCTGTGCCTGTCAGGCCGCTTGACGAGGAGGCGCGTGGTATGACTTGGCTTTGCCTGGAAGCGAAAGCGGGGTAGGTAATTCACGCTCTGATTGCCTGGAAGCGAAAGCAGGGTAGGTAATTCGCTGGCCCAACGGGCCAGAGGCGCGCTAAGATCTCCGGTAACTGGTTAACAATTCTCTAGTTCGCGCGCGCGCGGGGCGGCCCCTGGGGGTCCCCGGACGAAAAGTACCCCGGGCGGGTCCCGGCTGATCCCTGGGCGACTCCACCAGAGCGCTCCATGAGCGCACCAACAGGGCTCCGAGACGTCCCCGAGAGCCCCAAGAAAGGCCAAGAGGCCCCCAAGAGGCCCCCAAGATGGTACACGAGGGGTCCGACATGCCACAAGATCGCTCCAAGACGTCCAAGATCGCCCCCAGACGCCCCAAGAGGCCTCCAAGAGCACTCCCAAGAGGGCCCCAGGATGCAAAATTCATTGCTTTTCCTTAGGTTTTTGAGAGATTTTGGAGCTTCCACCTTTTCGGCTTCCCGACGCCCCAAGACGGCCCAGAGGCCCCCAAGATCGCCCCAAGAGGGCCCAAGAGGCCCCCAAGAGGGCCCCAAGATGGCCCAAGAGGGCTCGAAGACGGCCCAAGAAGCCTCCAAGACGGTCCAAAAGGGCCCCAAGAACGCCCCCAAAGGGGCCCCAGAGAGGGAACACGAAACAACATTTCGAGCCCTCGGCCCTAAGAAGCCCCCACGAGGCCCCAAGAGGCCCCTAAGAGGCCCCAAGAGGCCCCCACGAGGCCCTCAGGAGGCCCCCAAGAGTCCCCCAAGCGGCCCCAGGAGGCCCCCCAAATGCCCCCCCGAGCACGCAAGCAAGTGCAAGCGATGCTACAATGTGCTCTCCTTTCGGTAGACTCCCAACGGGGCCCCTACAGACTTGCAACAAGCGTCAAGAACCTGCCCAAAAAGCACTGTCCAGGAGCGTTCACAAGTGCCGCGAAGAAGCCCTCCTTACGCCGGAAAGCCCGGAAAGCCGGGTGGGGTGAGCTGTTCTTCTCACCACCGCGCCCTCTCACACAATGGCTTCCGCACGCCGCCCAGAGCGCGACGTTCGGCTCATGCCCCCAGAACGCTCCAGGAGCGCGCCAAAACGGCACCGGAACGCCCCCGAAACAATCCAAGCGGCCTCAAGTCGCCGAACAATCGTTCCAAATCGCCCAAGATGACCTCAAAATTGCCGTCGAGGCCGCCAAGAAGCCCCAAGAGAGCCTCAAGAGGCCCTCCAAGACGGCCATTACAATCAAAAATCGTCCCATTCCCAGAGGAACATGTACACTTCCCGCATGAACGGCGTTTCGAGTTTCACAGCGCCTCAGACTACGCAAATAGCCCCCAACATCGCCCCGAGACAGCCCAACAATCCGCTAAAATCGGCCCAAGACGGCCCAAGATAACCCCAAGACGGCACAAGAGAGCACCAAGACCGCCCAAGAGGCGCCCAAAGGGGGATTCTGCCCCTAGGAGCACCTCAGAAGCCACCAACATCCCGCCAATAAGTCCCCCAAGACGCCCCAAGAACCACCCAAGAAGCCCAACAAGAAGCCCCAACGACCCCCAAACGGCCCTTACGGGGCCTCACGAGGCTTCAACACTGCCTCCAAGAGGTTCCCGAGACGCCTGGCAAAAGAACCCCCAAAGCGCCGCATTGACACCAGGCCCTCGGGCAAACGGCAGACATGAGACTGTATGGGCCGGCGGAATGAGCGAAGCGATTAAATAACAGGATCCCCCATAGTTTCCCATATGTTCTGGGTGTTTGTCTTCCCCCCACTTCCCATATTTTCCCATATGTTCTGGGGAATCGACGATTAGTTGTGTCCGTGTTTTTCCCTCCTGAGTATTGCTCTCCCCTGGGCTCTTCGCCCCCGTCGTCGCCACTGCAGCGCCCCGAGCCCCCGCCATCCTGCGGCAGCTCTCGGGCCGACCCGCGAGGGCCACGGGGCTCTCGCGTTCGGGCGAGCGCGCCTGATCTTGAGGGGCAGCGATAGGGGGGGACTGGCACATGGGGGGGACTGCATCGACCTGGCATCGGCGATGCATCGCCGATAGATCGGCGATGGGCCTCCGATAGTGAATCCGCACCCTCCTGGGCAGGCTGGGGCTATCGGCACCCTATCGGCGATCAGTGGGCGACTGGGGGTCGGTGCATCCCCTCCTATGCCTATCCCCCCCTGTCGTTGCCCCTGAGGTGTGAGCAGAACTGCGGCGCCAGGAGCAGAAGGGAGGTCCGCCGAGCACACGCTAGCATCAGGTCGGGCGTGTCCCCCTACAGGCGGATTTTGAACGAACAGTGCAGAAATTGTGAGAAAATTGTCGAAAATCGTCCCCAGACTATTGTTCTACTATTTTTGAGTGTTCCTCCTGTAGAGGGACGCGTCCGACTTAACGCTTGCATGGACTGCGGAGCAGTGGACCCGGCGCGTGTGCGCCAGATCCACGGACCGGGGAAAGTGCCCCCCAAGCATGAGGCCAATGCCGCCGAGTTTGGCGACGGAGCCCGCCGACTTGGTATTGAGGTGGGACCGTCGCTCATCCACGCGCCTTGATCCATGTCTGCGCTTCGTCGATTGGGCCCCCGTCCCCTCTTCCCCCCCCACCCACCGCTCCTCGCACAAGCCCTCGTACTCCTCGCCCCACTCCGCCGGAGTGCCCTCGAAGCCGTTGAGCGTCGCGAAGCGGAGCATGGCGCTCGACTCCAGGTCCGCTGGCCCCCCCACACCACGGCCGGGGGGCTGGTCATCTGACAGGCCTAGAGGTTGACACCACACCAATATCGGCGGTGTGCCTCCACCGAGGGAAGACGGAATCTCGGTGATGGTGGTGATATTCTGGCTTCTAAGGTGACCGAAATATTACCGCCAACACCGAAATCTAGGACTATCTTCTCCCTGTGGAGGCAACCCCCTATGTTGGTGGTGGTGCCCATTTCCAAGCCTGCAGTCGTAATTTTGTTCCCCCCCTTTTGGGCAACCCTTGACTGGCGGCGCGCACAGGGGGGGGGGAGGGAGGGGGGAAGGCTTCTTAGAAGGAGGCGGCTCCTTAGAGGGCGCCGCCCTCACATCTGTAAGTAGGGCCATCGCCTTCTGAGAAGCAGGGCCGCTTCTAAGAAGCCCTCCCCCCTCCCCCCACTCCCCTCTGCGCGTGGCCAGCTTGACTTGGGCGTGGCTTAATGGGGGGGTCACACATGGGGGGGGTCAGAAACGGTCCCCTTTCGTGCCCCTTTCGGGCCCCTCTGGAGCCCCAGGGGGCTCGTTTAGGCACCGTTTGGGTACCTTTTCGGACCACCCTCGCCACCCCCCGATGTATGACCCCTGCATTACGCGACGCCAAATTGACCCGGCAAGCCGAGTCGAACCTGAGTCGAATCTGAGTCGAATCTGTGTCGAACCTAAGTCGAACTTGAGTCGAACCTGAGTCGAACAGATCCATTAGGTGGGCCCCAGGAAGGTCCCCAAAACGAGCATCGAACTCCCCCCTCCCCCCTTCCCCCTCTGCGCGTGGCCAGCTTTGACCCTGCAAAAGGCGAGTCGCCGGGAAGCACCCGCACGAGAGCGGGGCCAGCTCGCTCCACGAGGGCCCGCCGCGCCCCCGCCCGGCAGAGAATGCGAGGGCGCGCGGGGGGCCGCCGCCGGAGAGGGGGCTCCTCCTCCTCCTCCTCCTCCTCCTCCTCCTCCTCCTCCTCCTCCTCCTCCTCCTCCTCCTCCTCCTCCTCCTCCTCCTCGGGGAGCGGCACGGCGGCAGCCCCCAAGCTTGCCCGTGTAGGCGGTGTCCAGGGCCCGGAAGATCGCCCTGAGGGGGGCGCGGCGCTCGATCCAGCACATGGACATTCTCTTCGAACCCTGTGGCCCAAGATGCCCCCCAGACCCCCCGAAATGAATATTGATGGCGTGGCGACGGGGGGGGCGTGAGCGGACAGAAATGTTCGAACCCCAAAGCGCACCGCCTTTACTGAGATCAACATTGATGTCGGGGGCGCGGGGGTGATTTAGAATCTCCCTCAAATGTGTAAGGGTTCGAATAGTTAGATTGTCCATGTACGGTCCCCGCGGCGGCGCCCTCCCAGCGGGAGGGGGGAGAAGGAGAAGAGTCGGAGTGTGAAGCACGAGGAGCAAAATTCCCCGGGCCTTGCTTCCCCCGAGCAGGGAGGACCCGTCAAGGCCGAAGGGCCCTCACCCCGGAAAGCTCCCAGTGGTCGGTGTCGGGTGCTGGCCCCCTCTACAGACGATTGCAGGCGGGAGCAGGAAAGAGAGAGGGGGGGGGAAGGAGGGAGGACGAGCACGACGGAGGATCGAGGAGCGGGGCAAAGGATTATGCTGGATGATGTTGTTTGTTTACCCACGTAGGTCCTCATCGCACTGAACTGGAGGGGCTCCAACGGGGAAAAGCAGAGAACCCCCCGAACGCGCAACATATCCCAGTCAGATCACTGGCGATACCTCGTGACAAGGGATGGGCCGCTTCGAGGCGCCTGCACGGGAGGGAGCAGGAGGAGGCGGAGCAGGAGGAGGCGGAAAAGGAGGGAGCAGGAGGAGGCGGAGGGAGAAGGAAGAGGAGAACGAGGAGGAGGAGGAGGAAGAGGAGGAGGAATCTGAGAAGGAGGGAGGAGGAGAAGAAGGAAGAAGAGGAGGAGGAGGAGCAAGAGGAGGAGCACCAGGAGTTTACCTAAGCGCGGCCGGGAGCGTGCGAGGGAAGACGCAGGCGGACTCGGGCGAGAGCCCGACGAAAAAACATGGAAATTCAGGAATACCCACGCAAACACCAGGAAAACCAGCACAGAACTGGGTTCCGGTTGATACGCAGGCCGCAAAAAACAAGAAATTCCGCAGCCGAGGATAACCATCCTCTGCAGCGAGCTTTGCTACATCTGCCCACGCGGAGCGCCCCCGAGACCCCCCCCCCGAACGGTCCCTGAAGGGGCTGCGCGCGGGAAGCGAACCGCCTCCTTCGAACAGACCAGCACACTTGGCGTCGAGGGCAGTCTCGCCGAAAAGGTCTGGCCTTAGCCGACCTTGGAGCGCGGGCTGCGAAAGAGCCCCAGTGCGCGGGCCCATGCCCGCCCAAAGCGCATCGAACCGGGGGCGGGCCCTGGCTGGGCGCCGCAGCTGGCACAGGCCGGCGCTCCATACACGGTGGCCCCATCCAGGAAAGCATCCCACGGAAGCGAAAGCGTCGCGTGAATCGAGAGACACGGAAGCAGCGGGCACAGTGGCACTCCTGATTTCGTAATAAAAGGGAGGGGGTCTGGACCCTCCAAGACAAGCCATTTCAGACCCCCCCCGTGGGAGAACCCTCCAAAACATCGTCCCCAGACCCCCCCAGGCACTCCAAGATAGCCTGGAAGAGACCCCCCCCGAAATGAGACCCCCCTCCCTTTATTACGAAATCAGGAGTAACCGCGGGCAGTCTGTCCAAGGTCGTGCGATCCCACGAAATCCTCGAGGTCCGCCAGCAGGGTTGACACCGTCACCGACCGCTTCGCAGGCAGGATACGCCCGCGTCGGGGAGGGGCCATCGAGGGGCCCACCGCCTGGAGGGCCCGCGCCAAAAACTGACCCACAAATGTCGCGAATTGAAGAACCGGGCCACCCGAAGTTCGGCCACGGGGCCCGAAAGTAAAAGTCGGCGCCCTCGCGGGCCCCGAGGTTCGCGGGGTGGTCTGCCCACGTATTGGGAGCTCTGCGCACGACCCCGCCGCCCGCGAAGCGGCGAACGCGCCCTTTGACCACGCGCGCGCCGTGCCCCCCCCCGCACCAACTAGTCCTTCACCCGATCCAATATCCGGCGCCAGAGGCCAGCCACTTCGCGCTGAGACGCCGTCTCCCCAAGGCGGCCTCGGGCGAAACTCGCGGCAACCAAATCGCGGCCTGCGGCGATGCAGAAGATGGCAGCATGGGTCAGGCACGCGAGAAGGGCAAAAGCCTCAGCTCTGCGGGAGGCCCGGTGGGGCCCTGGAAAAAGGCCGCACAAGGAGGCAGAGAGGGCGCTGTCTTCGGCGACATGTGCGACTGACCAGCCAGCGCGACGGAGCCTCGGGCCGCTGTCAACTGCAGCAGAACAGGATCCGTCGCCAAAAGCTGCTTCCCCAAAGATCCCCGACTCTGGGCGAAGAAGCCACTCGACCTGCAGAGAGGGGGGGGGGGGGGCAGGGGCCCAGACGCCGAGGGCCAGGCACCGAGGCACACGCCCAGAGGGCCAACTCGGGGCGCTCGCGGACCCGAGCACGGAGGGAGAGGAGGGGGGTCACACTCACAGATGCACATCTGGGCGGGCGAACAGTCGCCCGCGACCCAGGTCGCAGAGGGCCCCAGGGCAGTGGCCACGTGAACAGCAGAGCGGGTCCGTCGTGAGACCACGCCATAGCTCCCGCTGCTGATCCCTGCTGCCAGTCACTGCGGTTGCTCGAGGCCAGGCCCAGCGCCGGGAAGTCCAGCAGGCCTTCCCGCGCCCACTGCACAAGCGACGGAGCGGGGGGGGGGCCCACGCCGATGGGAGAGGCCAGACATGACTGCGCACTCCTGGCGGGCAGTGCCCAGATACCAACCCTCGACCCCCCGCCTCGCGAAGCGCAGAACTGATCGGGGGCGCGGGCGGGCGAGGTCCCCCTCGGCGCCTTCAGCCGACATGAAAACGCACGCACCAGGTCCCACTCCCCAGCCAATCCGTCTGCAGCAAGCCACCGCAACCGAGATCGGACCCAGGACCAGAATCCAGTCGCTGCATGAACCTCGGACCTGTCAAAGAAAAGAACGCCCGGGGCAAGAAAGAAGCCGCGCGATCGCGCCCTCGCTGGAGTTGGCCCGAGGCTGACTAGCCGCCGGCACTTGCCGCGACGAGCGGAGCACTCGGAGGCGGCAGGCGCGGCGCAAGGCGGCGGCCGCGCGCTCGCCTCGGACGCCCGCGCCAGGCCGACCGCCGCAGATGCAGTCGATGCCGAGGTTCCTCGCGGAGCGCTTTAACTTGCCCCAGAGGTACCGGCAGCGCGCGGCCGCCTCTCGGCCGCGGGCAGGCTCCTTCGTCAGGACCACCCCCTGGTCATCGTTGACCATCAGGCCGTCTGAAAGGAGGTCAACTTGGATCCGTCGACACGTTGAGCCAACGCGAGCAGCCACCACTCTGGGCAAGCCAACCTCGGCCAGCTGGACGTCGTCAACGACGACGCCGATGTCAACCGCGCCCAGGGCCCGACGGCGGCCCAGCCGCGAAAGAAAAAACATCCCCGCGCCTGAATCGGCGAAGCCGCATCCCGCCACCACGCCTCGGGAGGGCCGACAACAGCCAAGGCCGACGCCGTCGACGAAGATGAGACGGGGCATGGAACACCACTGGATCAGAAGCTCCACGGGCACTAGATTGACACGGTCGAGGGTAGCACGCTCAGGCAGCAAGGCCCCAGAAATGTAATCGCACGCTGTTGACCTGTCCTCGAGCACCGAGAACGCCGCCTGCTTCCCGCGAGTCCCCAGCTCAACGCTCGTCGCCCGGATCCACGCACAGGTCTCGCAGTCGCCCCGCCGCGCAGCGAATGCGGGGCCGCCGGTTGCCCTCGGCCCAACAAGCCCCCACGGCATTTGGAGCCCAGCGCGCGAAAGGCCCGATGCGCCAGAGGGGCTGCCCGATGGGGCGAGAGCCCGACTCAGCTTTCGAGGCGAGCAGGACCGCCAACACCCTCGAACAGTCACCCAACCGAAGCATGGGATGCCACACGGCAATGCGGGCTGACAGGGCGTCATCGGGCAAGAAGATGCCCTGGGGCGGATGGAAGGCATCCGCCCTGGACCAGCGACGCGAGGGAGAGAGCGGCCCACCCCCCGTAGCTCATCAACGCCACAGGACGATCATCCAGACTCGTTGACCAAAGCCGCTCCCCAAAAAATATGCCAAGGCTGGATGCCACCGTCTGCTGCTGGCTGCGCCGTCCGCAGTCCGGCTGCTGGAGCCCACCTGCCCGCAGCCTTAGGAGCAGGCTCGCCGCCGGGGGGGGGCGGCGACGAGTCGCGACTTGCATCGGCACCGCGCAGCCCAACTCGCAGCCGGGAAGCACGACGGCGTGGATCATCCCACAGGCAGTCCAAGTCGCAATCGCCCCATGAAGCCCACATCTCGGGCTGCGCCGCGCATGGAAATCTGGCCGGTCGCGGGGCCGGCCCCCGATCGAGGACGCGATCTGCCAACCAGCCCCGATGAGCATCAGCGGCTTCACTTTCTAGCAAGGAAGCCCGCCGCGACCACCGGGGGCCGAGCTCATCCTCGCAGGTGCAAAGGGCCCTGGAGACATCAGCGTCGAGGGAGGACGGGCCGTCGGCGATGGCCAAGTCTTCCAGGACCGAATCCCAGGATGGACCAGTCAGCTGGGGCCTCATCAGGGCCTTCGCCTCGAAGGCCTCGGGTCCGCGAACGTCGGCCGCAATGCTGCTGGGCTCGGGCAGGGCCAGAGGGAGCAGGACCGCGCGGTGCGCGCGGACGTCGAATGAAACACGGCGTCGGACGCCACGGATGGACCGCTCTGATCCACGCAGACAGAGTCCAGCTCACGGGCGGAGTCGGGCGCGACGCGCGCAGCCTGCCATCCAGGCCCGCGCCCCAGGATGGGAGCAAGCGCGCCTCGCCCACCGCGCCCTGCACCACGTTCCAACCAGCAACCACGCGCACGAACGGCACATGGCGCGCACCACCAATCCGAGTTTCGTGAGAACGTCATGGCTGCATTCGCGGCATGCATAGACATACGCCGACGCCGACATCGCGCCTCCGCCAGCGCCTCAGAACGTTATCCAAAAAGCTAAGCGGGAAGAGCAGCGGACCGATATCCCCCCGTCTGAGAGCTCCACGGGCAGCACGTGCACCCAGCGTCGAACGAGGGCGCCTACTCCCGCGGAGGCGCTGCCTCTCTCCGTCGGGAAGGCTGGGATAGAGTTGGCGACGCAGCCAGCCTTGCGAACCGCTCGAGCAGCGGCCGCCAGCTCGAGCTCGCCAGCCAGTCGGCGCTCCTGGAGTTGCGCGGCCTGCACGCGGCATTGCACGCTGCCGCCCCAGGGCTGCGCGCGCGCACCCATCCAGTGACATCAACCGCCATGGTGGAGAGCTTGCATGGTTCGCCTTCGCAGCTCCTGGGCAGTCTGCGCCCCGCAGGCGCGGCCCGTGAGCCGCGTCGCCCGTCAGCACCGCCAACGCGGTCGCTGCGAACACTCGACATGGGCGAATTAAGTCGATTTCTCGCGCGGCCAAGGCAAGCCCCACAAGACACTGAGCCCGCCCCAGGCAGCCAGCGCGCGCCCGACCCGCGCAGAATGGCCCCCGGAAAGAGCCAACGCCGACTCGCCCAAGCAGTCGCGCGCAACCAATGCCATGAGTGACCTGTGCGCGCCCGCGGCGAAGGCGCAGCTCGACCCCGTCTGCTCAGGGGGGCATTTTGGAATACCGCGGCCGAGCCCACTCAAGCTGGGAATATCGAAATCACGCCCACCCAAATTGGGAATACCCTGGCCGAACCTACCCCCAGTTGGAAATATTGCGGGCGGACTCACACAAGGCGCTGGAAGTAACGCAGTCGATCCCACCCACGTTGGAAGGAAGCACGGTGGACGGACCCACCCAAAACCAAAAAGAAAGGTCGCTAGGCCGCCGTCGCGGGCGGCGTCGGGGTCGCCGCAGCAGCAGAGGCGGCGCTCGCCGGACAGGGCTCAGCGCCCCGAATAGAGCCGAAGGTCTCCTCGATGGCGAGAACAGAGGCACATTGCACCGCGACGAAGTGACGCCGAGCCTCGAGGTCGCCCTCGAGCGAGGCGAGAAAGCCGAAGAGCCATCTGTGAGAGCGGGCTGAGTGGCTCCAGCGGGCGCGGCGCCAGCGACGCGCAAGGTCCTGGACTGATACCGGGAGGCTCGCTGGCCAGGCGAGCGCCCCTAGCCCGGCGGCACTGCGCAGAGATCACGCAGGGCGCGCACCACCTGGGTCAACCTCCGGGACCGAGGGCCCGCTCACCCCGAAAACCTCGAATCCAATTCGCAGGACGGACGCGCTGCCTGGCCCCGTCGAAAGTCCGCCAATTGATCAGGCGGGCAAGGCAGCCCGCGACCTGGAGAAAGCCCCATGACCTGCCTCGGGCCCGAGAAGCCAATGCTGCAGAGGTCGAAGGAAGAGACAACCCTCCACTGGAACCAGCACTGAAGGGCGATGGCCCGAAAAAGCCTCGAGCAGCAAGACGGCCGAGCGCTTCGCGCCAGGCGCCCACGTGGCGATGGATGTCCACGTCGGAATCATCCCAAGACTCAAGACTCAGCGCTCACGGCCAATTGAAACACCAGGGTCAGGATCGGCCGCGTGCCGACCACGCCTCGTCACTGATCTCGCGAGCCAGGCCCAACTGGGCCCGGCGGAGTTCGAAGTGCCCGTCGTCGATGGCGCGCTCGGGGACCAGGGGCTGCAGCGTCAAATCTAACAAAGCAAAGAAGACATGCGTGACACACATCTGGCGCCAGTCGCGCGCCCCCTCCTCGTCATCCCAGATCAACGGGCCTGGGGTCCATTGCGAGGAGCAGCTGCGTTGGGCACGATCGAATCGTCGACGCCCCCAATGCGCCGCCCTGCGGGGGCGTTCCTCGTCCTCGGCGGCGGGGGAGGGCCAGCCCTGAGCGCCCTCTCCCCGGAAGTGGTAGGCGGCCTGGCAGCACTCCCCAAAGTAGCTGGCCGAGTCGCAGCGTGGTCCGAGATGCCAAACTGGCCCATCTCGCCTTGACCTGGCAGCGCTTGACCTCCTGCATGTCCGTGAGCTCCGAAACCTCGCCAGCCACCTGCCAAGAGCTGGTTGCCACCCTGCCACGCACACGACGAGCCCCCAGCGCACCCCCCCAAGGTGCCCTGCACATCGCGTCGCAGACTGAGCAGCACCATCGCTCCGCCGTGGCCGACATCCGCGCCGAGATCGGCGGCCTCGCCGGGACGGCTGGAGGCCAAAAGCCCGGAGGAACAGCAGGGGCCCCTCGCGCGCGCGCCCTGCGCCAGTCGCCGCAGCAGTCGCCGCCAGACGCTCGCGGGCCTGCGCCGGGACGACGGCGCCGGGGGCCTGGGGGCCCCGCAGGCGGTGGGCAGCGCCTCCCGACTCGGCGGGGGCTGCGGCGGCGGCAGGCGGAACGGCCTGCGCCAGGGCCGGGTCCCGCGCAAATGTCGCGGGGGCGTTTGCATCGCCTGCTCCCGGCGCGCCGCTGCTGCCGGGGCTGGCGTCGGTCTTCCTCTTCTTGACCTGGAACGGTTCCTTCTGCAAGCGGTGGGCCTTCTCCATCTCCTGAGCCTCCGCCCTGAACTGGCCAAAAGCCTCCGTCGCCATGGCCTGGAATTTGGACTGCAGCACCTCGCGGCGCCGCTGGTTTTCGATCCTGTCCGTCTCCTGCACGTCGTAATTACTCGTCCGAGGCCTCGAGACGGCCGAGATGCTGAGCATTGTAGCCCCTACAGGGGCGCCGACACGGGACTGACTGAACAGGCGCCCCCGTCGTCGGGAACGCCTGCACGGTCTTAGCGTAGTCCGTGTTGGCCTGGTCGAGGGCCGCCGTGCAATCCGCAACGCGCAGCTTAGCCTTCTCAAGGCGGCCCTGCAAATCCTCAGTCGTCGCCATGGCCTTGGACAGGTCGGACTCGGCAACCAACCTCCTTGACGATGCTGGCGACGTCCACGGACAGGGGCTGCTGCCTGCAGCTGGATCGCATGCTGTCGAGCTGTTGCTGGCACTTGGCCTGGGCAAGGATGTCGCAAGAACGGCGCAGCTGCTGCACCAGCTGGACCAGTTCGGCCTCCTCGGGGTCCGCACCGGGCGCTCCCTCGCCCAAGGCGTCGCCCATGACGAAGCGGACACCTCGTCCTGCGCGCAGGGGTTCGCGGGAGGGCGTCATGCGGCGCAATGGGGTCAGCGCAGCGCGCCACTGGCCGCTGGGCACACGGCGTTCGGCGCTGCGTCTGCGGCGAGGATAACCACCACCGCCAGCCACGCCAGGCGCCTACGTAGAGGGCTGCCTTTCAGTGCTTGCACCACTTCCACCAGGTCTCGCTCCTCTTGCAGCCGCACTGCTGGCAGGGCGACGCGAAGGACTTCTCCGCCACGCCATGCATGTGCAGCGCAGGCGGCTGGCTGCCGCGATGCTCGAACAGCCGACGGTGATCGCGAAGAGCACGGAGGCGGCCGCTAGCCTCCGCGCGCTGGCGCCGCGCCCTGCAGTGCCAGGCTGGCGAGCGCGAGCGCTCGCGCCAGGGTCGCCCCTCCGTGGGGCTGAGGGCTATCGCTCGGCTGGCGCGCCCGCCGTGGGCAAGCAGGCTGCGGGCCGCCACACTGCGAGCCACCTAAGAGGAGCACCGGAAGAAGGGAGAGAAGGAGAAGGAGGAGGACGACGACGACGACGACGACGACGAGGGGAGGAGCAGGAGGAGGAGGAGGAGGAGGAGGAGGAGGACAACGACGAGGAGGACAGTGGAGGAGGAGGGCAGAGGAGGAGGAGGAGGAGGAGGAGGAGGAGGAGGAAGGAGGAGGAGGAAGGAGGAGGAGGAGGAGGAGGAGGAAGGAGGAGGAGGAGGAGGGAGGAGAAGGAGGAGGACTCAAAGTGGGAATGCCTCGCCAGAGTGCTGCCTGCGCCAGCCCGAACAGGCCTCAGCCTGACGCGGCCAGGCCCGGCGACCGACTCGCACAGGATTCCTGTGTACTGCCCCGGCCTTCTTCGGGCACGTAGCCCCTCTCCCCTCCAGCCCCAAATCGCTGAATCGGGGCACCCGGGGAGGCGTCCCTACCCCTCCTTCTGATCACCCTCATCCCCACTTCATCTTCTGGTCCCCCTCCCTGTCCTACTCCTATCCGCATCCCCCTCCTCCCACGGTGAGATCGACGACGGCCACCACCACGTCCACGCCGACGCCAACGCCGACGAGGCTACTGACGACGACGACGACGACGACGACGACGACGACGACGACGACGACTACGACGACGACGACTACGACGACGACGACGGCGGCGGCGGCGGCGGCGGCGGCGGCGAGCACGACGACGGCGACGACGACGGCAGCGGCGGCGGCGGCGGCGGCGGCGGCAGCTGGCGCAGTAGCAGCGGCGGAGGCCGCCTGATGAGCTGCGCCCGCGCCATCTTCGCCTCTGAGTATCGCGCGGCCCGAGCCCCACAGGCCGATTTGCCCCCCTAGATGGGGATATGTAGGTCGTTCCCTCCGAGCTTCGAGGGGTGTGTATCCCCAACTGGGGTCGTAATTTGGTCGGGGTCTCGATGGAGATGAGGATGGTGGGGAAACCGAAATGTACCGATACCGCCACTCCCCGGACCTCTCCCGGGGGTCGTTCTGACCAGGATTTCGAGGCGAGTCCAGCGGTGGCGACAAGGGCCTCCTACGGGAGGCCCGAGAAGGGGAGAACGAGGGAAGGGTAGCGGTATGGGCACCTTTTCTGAAGGGGCCCTGGGACACACAAATAAATACACACAAATAACTGAATTCCCCATATTTTCTAATATTTTCTGGGTTCTTGCCCCCACACTTCCTATATTTTTCTACATTTTCTTGGGAATCGACGATTCATTGTGTCTGTGTGTGTTTTCCCCTCCTGACTTGCCTCCTCTGAGATGTCGCAGGTCTGAGGGGATGGGGGTCGCCCTCCCGGAAGGAAAAAACAACTTCCCGGAAGGAGGCGCGGCACGCGAAACGGTCAACGGGCTCCTTCCCGGAAGGACGAAGACAACTTCCCAGAGAGGTCGATTTTAGCAGCCACGGATTTAGCAGCCCTTGCCCGGCTTCCGAGAGATGTCGCAGGTCTGAGGGGATGGGATGGGGGTCTGAGGTCGGTCGGAAGAAGTAGGTAAAAACATGATGTAGGAAGGCGGATATAGTAGATTGGGTCCAGGTCCTCCCAGAGAATAACAGAGCACAGCAAAAGCGTGCCGATTCATGAAGTAGGAAGGCGCTTGAAGTAGATTGGGATCTGGGATTTCGAAACTACCTACTTTCCACGACCGGCGTGTAGGGGTACCTTTCCCTCCCCTGAGAAGTCGCAGGTCTGAGCCTCCTCCTCCTCCTCCTCCTCCTCCCCCTCCTCCTCCCTTTCCTCCTCCAATTCCTCCTCCTCCTCCGCCTCCGCCTCCTCCGCCTCCTCCTCCTCCTCCTCCTCATCCTCATCCTCATCCTCCTCTCCTCCTCCTCCTCCCCTCCTCCTCCTCCTCCTCCTCCTCCTCCTCCTACTCCTCCTCCTCCTCCTCCTCCGCCTCCGCCCTCCGCTCCGCCTCCGCCTCCTCCTCCTCCTCCACCTCCTCCTCCGCCGCCTCCGCCTCCGCCTCCGCCTCCCTCCGCCTCCTCCTCCTCCTCCTCCTCCTCCTCCTCCTCCTCCTCCTCCTCTCCTCCTCCTCCCTCCTCCTCCTCCCTCCTCCTCCTCCCTCCTCCTCCTCCTCCTCCTCCTCCTCCTCCTCCCTCCTCCTCCTCCTCCTCCTCCTCCTCCTCCTCCTCCTCCTCCTCCTCCTCCTCCTCCTCCTCCTCCTCCTCCTCCTCCTCCTCCTCCTCCTCCTCCTGAGATGGGGGCCCGTTCCACGACCCCGCCGCCTCCGCCGGGCGCCCCACCGCCGCCTCCACCGCGGCCGCCTGGCGGCCGGCGGCCGAGCCAGCCGCGGCTGCGGCCGCCCTTGCCGCCGCGGCCCGGGGTGGGCCTGCGCCGCGCGGGAGGGAGAGGTTCGACAGGGTGCGCCAGCCGAAACGAACCTGCAGCTGATCCGAGGGTCGAATGTCAGGCCACGGAGGCAGGCTGCGCCACGCTCTGGTCCCGGGCAGGCCGTGCCGCCCGGCGGGAGGGGGCGAGGACGGGAGAGGCAGGCAGGCGCGCGGGAGGGAGAGGTTCGACGGAGTTAGTTTTAGGTCGGGCCTGTCCCCCTACAGGGGGACTTTAGGCGAACCAAAAAAAACTACCCCAATAATACTCGAAAGATGGTCAAACATAACCCCCCAAAAAATAGTGCCCAGACTATTGTTTGACCATTTTTGAATAGTCCCTCTGTAGAGGGACAGGCCCGACCTAAAGTTAGTTGGCGGCGCGCACACTCTTCGATCGAATACGAGCGTGCAGGTGCCTGTCGACTTGCGTGGTTCCCGCACGTCCAGTCGTTCGCGGCTTGCTTCGGGTTTGGGCCCCCCCTCCATGCGAGTGAGCTTGCCAGAGTCTTGAAAAAACAGGCTCCTGGCCCTCGCTGTCTGCGGGTCAGCCTAAGTCTACGCCTATTGCACACAGTGGGAGGAAGGAAAAGCTGCATAACCATAGACCTGGCGGCGCGCACAAGGGGGTGGAGGGAGGGAGGAGGGCTTCTTAGAAGGAGGCTGCTTCTTAGAAGGCGCCGACCTTACATCTCTAGACAAGGCCCGCGCCTTCTAAGAAGCAGGGGTGCTTCTAAGAAGCCCTCCCCCCTCCCCCCACCCCCCTCTGCGCGTTCGCCAGAGACTGGTTTCTCCCCAAAGCGGCGAAACCCCCACCCAGAGCCCTTCCAAGACCCTTCGAGGAGCCTCCAGGGGCCCTTCCAGGAGGGTTTTCAGAGGTTTTCGGGAGGGTTTCGGCTGTTTAGGAAGGAAACCAGTCCCTTGCGAACCCTGGACTTTCGAAAGATCGAGGCTCCCGGAAGTCCGGCGATGTGATCTGCTCGATCCGGGCGCTTGTTGTCGGTGTCCGCCTCCTGGGCCTTTTCCGGGGCCCTGCAGGCCCGTCAAAGAATGGACCCGCGGGGCGGAAAGCTGCTGCAGGGGGAGGGGTCGGAACCTGGTGTTAGGTCGGGCATCTCCCCCTACAGGCCGACTTTAAAATTAAATACACAAAATGCCAAAAAGTATGCTAAACATCCTCAAAAAAACGTCCCCCGACTATTTTTTAACTATGTTTGAGTATCCCCCCTGTAGAAGTACGTGCCCGACTTAAACCTGGTGGGGCCGCGCGCTGAGAAGCAGGAAAAGTAAAGCACTGAGGTACCCCAGCGGAACAACCTGACAGTAGCAAGGGTGAAGAGGCGGGGCGAGGAGCGGGTCGGCTGCAGGGACAGTGGTGAGAGCAGGGCCCTGTGCACCGTTGTGATCTCTGTTGCAAGAGATCGTTAGAAGAAGACAAATCGCTATAAGCAGAAACTTTTGGCGTTCCGCGCGGATTTCTCGGAACTGCGCTGGACCGCCCCTGCCTGGCGCGCGGAGCGCGCCAGGGGCGGCGCTGGAGGCGCCGCCGAGGGAGTCCAGCGCGGAACCAAGAAATCCGCGCGGAGCGCCAAAAGTGTATGTTTATGGCGTGTCTTCTTCTTCTTCGAGTCGTGGCCGTCGAGACCACATTTTAGCCAGCACTGATCGGGGGCGCGCAAACATGGATTAGCGATCCATGGATGTGGCGCGCGGTCGCCAAATCCATGGATCGGGGGAGGTGCCCTCCCCGAAATGCGGCCGGTGCCGCCCTGTTCGGCGGCGAAAAAAACTGCGATTTCCCACAGACACGGGAACCGTCGCTAATCCACGCCCCCCTGATCCATGTTTGCGATCCGAGCATCGTTTAACCGATCCCTATCCCCGGCGGCGTGGCCCGGGCCCCACAGGGCCGATTTACCCCCCTGGATGGGGATAGAGGCCGTTCCCTGCGGGCTTCGAGGCGTGTATCCCCAACTGGGGGGGTAATTTGGTGGGGGTCTCGACGGGGATAGGGATGGGGATGGGGGTCGGTTAAATGGGACGCACAGGGACACTAATACTATGTCCTCCTTGGAGGCGCGCGTCCGACCCGAACATATAGTGTACCCATCTTGTAATATATCGTTTCCCGAGCGGTGTGGCCAGAAAGCGCCCG